ATATTATTAGTGACTGTTCCACAATTATTTCATCACATAACTCTCTAATTTAAGGTTGGTTATTGAAGGTGATGGAAGTACTTTTGGGGGGTGGGTGGGATTAGTCACATAAACCCTAAACTATGTGTACAAAAAAACACAATAGACGTCAACCTTCGCCTACTACGATGGACTACTTGACCTACTTGAATGTGATTAGTCATCAGTGTGTACTTTTGTTACGCATAACTGAGTAATTGTCATGCATTTTAATTTTATTATTATTTTTACGAGTTGATCACGGATTCATATCAGTTAGAGAAGAACCACTGAAAACCAGCCATAGGGAGTACTAGACAGCCACCTGTTTCATCAGCCTAGTTTGGGAATCATCGGAAGTACGCACCCACCCAGGGTGTGGTTCGCACCCAGGACCTTCCGGTTACAAGGATTGCTGACTCTTATACTATTCAGCTACTGGGACCCGATTCAATGACTCATGAATTCTAATTCTTACAAACCAACTATAGAAAATTAATCTAATGCTCGCTAGTGACTGACTGGCTACAGGACGGAGTTTCCTGGAGTTCTAGTGAAAACTTGTGACCAGTGAGGTCCATCCAGACGTCAAGTGTGAGAATGGATGTCCCACCGACGACATTGGTTGGTGCCAGTCGCGCTAAATCACGAATTGGTAAGATTTAGAATTGATGGGCTGGCTATTGAGGAGTCGGGTCTCAGTGGCTGAGTAGTATACGAGTTAGCTTGCCTTGTAACCGGAAGGTCCTGGGTTCGAACCCCACCATGTGGGTGCGTATTGTGGATGATTTCCAAACTAGGCTGATGAAACACCTGACTGTCCTGTACTCCCTGGCTGGTTTTCAGTGGTTCTTCTCTAACTGATATCAATCCGTGATCAACTGGTAAATAAATGAAACTAACACCCTTACAAACCAACTGTAGAACATGTATTATTATTGTGAACCATGTTAATTGTAAAGTGGTTGTAAAGAAACTGCTAAATGACGAGATCATCTCGCAAAAGTTGTCTTCTAAGTGCCTTGACAACAAATCACTACTACCCTTTTATCAATCCTTACTCCGCCTATTTAAAATTTGATTACCCGTTACTTTTTTGAAATATCTTGACACTCCTAGCTCCTAACTCTTAACTCCTAGCTTAGTGATAGGAAGTGAAGTGATAGAACATGTTGACTACTTCACCCTTTTTTGGGAAGTTGTATCAACACCAACGGACTGATTGGCGACGAAATCTCAGCACGAATCCAAAAAGCTCGAGCTGCTTTCGCTAACTTACACCATCTCTGGCGTTTAGGCGTGACATCCGGCTATCAACCAAGGGACGTGTGTACTGCTCAGCTGTTCGCCCCGTCCTTCTCTATGGCTACATAGATTGAGATGGCTGGGTGACGTGCTGTGCATGCCTAACCATCGCCTCCCCCGACGGGCATTACTAGCTGATGTAGGTGCAGGTTGGAAAAGAGTAAGTGTTGGTCAAACAAAAACATGGCCCCATCAATCCATGACTGAAATCCTTGACAGTTAAACTGAGTCAGTCAGGTAGGGAGATGCAGACTTCCGGGTTGGGACCCTCGGGACTCTAAGAATCAATGGCTGGAGACAATAGGTGACACTGTGAAGTCTGTATCAGCCTCCGTGGCTAATAGAGTTTCCTAACAATAAATGATCCCAATCAAGAAAACAACCGTACAGTTTTGTGGATATAACGTGATCTTACTTTTCAGAAAACTACTTACTGATTGGAAGAAAGGTCAGCTTGTCAAACTACCAAAGAAGGACGACTTAAGCCTCACCTCGTCGACGGAGGTGATGAAGAGATAACCAACCAACATCAAAAATTACCAATCATTATCCTCGAGAGGGATTTAAGAGCATCATTTCAACTGTGGGTGGTAAGGTTGAGGATTTCGAAGCCAGGATGGGAAAGGTAAGGCGTAGACCATTCCTCTGAAATCATCAGTCTAGAAATCTTCTACACGCAGCATAAAAAAGAAGATTCTTATCTTCAACATTGTCTCTGTCTGTTTTCGACATGATAAAGTCACAAGGAGTGAATGCATCTGCGCCAGCCAGCCATTGAGAACTATTTTGAGTCATTTCACCGATTGTCTCCAGCTGGTGATTGGTGTTTACCGTCCTGAGGACCCCAACCAACCAGTCAGGAAGTCTAGACCTCCGTCCCTACATGACTGTCTGGCTGGTTGGTTTAAACTAACTGTAGTGGATTTATTTCATTGAATGATGAAGCCATGTTTTGGTTTGACCGTCGCTAGCTGTTTTCCAGCCTAACCGTTTGTCAGCTAACATTGCCCTTCGGTCTAGAAAGGCAATGGCTAGGCAGGCATGCGTAATACATGTCCTAACCATCTCAATCTATGCAGCTGCTTCACAGCCTCGTCGATTGATTCCTCCTTCCTACCTAGCACTCGACCAATGCCTTACCTCAAGAGATAGAACGCAGGCACTTTTGATCAAAGACACTGGGTCAGCCTTTTTGTTTCTTCCATTTTCAATGACCAGATCATATAGCCTTAAAGGAGGACGGAGTGAACTTCTGAACAGTACACACGCCCTTCAATCAATAGCCAGCCGAATATCACGTCTACTAAGCCAGAGATGGCGTAAACTGGTATATGTGAAACTATCCCTCTGTATAGGTGCTGAGATTTCGTCAGCTATCAACCTAATGGTGTTGGCTGATACAGCTGATCTGGCTAACACACACTCCACCAACCCACTTCACTCCCGCCTATCTGTATTAAGCTAAGAGTAAGTCAATATAGCCCAGAAGAAATTATCATCAAAACAACCAAAAAAAAAGTTGACAATATACTCCTCTATACTCAACGGAATTACAAAAATGGCTACTTTAACACTTTTTGCTTTTATTTCTGCTTCAAAATATAAATAAAGCGAGAATTTTCTTCACTTCATCACCTAAAACATTAGTTACATTGAATGAGAATAAGTCATGTGTTATTTTTACTACTACTATTTTTATTATTATTATTATTCTACAAAGTAACAAAATAATCTTTCATACGATAAGACCAAGAAAAAAGGAGGAGAAAACGAACAAAACAATCAAAATCATGTGACTACAATTCATCGAAAGCAACAAACAATTCTACTTATAATAAATAAATAAATGAATCTATCCATGAATAGTGAGGGAGTGAGTGCCAAAATTTAAAAAAACAATGTATGCTCAACCTATAAACTTTACATTGGAAAGGAGAATGTGACGTCGAAAATGAATCTAAAAAAAGAATAATGGTGGCTGACTTTAATGGTCTACGAGCTTATTAGCCTTGTGACCAGAAGGTCCAGGGCTCGAACCCCAGCGGGGTGGGTGCGTCCTGCTGAAGAGTCCCAAACTAGGCTGACGAAACAGCTGTCCAGGACTGTGAGGTTTGATGTGTCGGTAGCACAGTGGTTAGGACTCTCGCTGATCATGCACATGGTCCGGAGTTCGATCCTCTGCCGACACACACACACCTGATATCTATGGTCTGCCTGCAAAATTTGGGCTACCGATATCACATGCTGAAAACCCGATACCTGTACCATAAATACGGTGTGGAATCAAGCTGTAATCAAAAAAAAAATTATAAAGAGTGAAGGCATCTGAGCCATTGACATCGACACTTTGAGTCACAGTCATCCATGTCAGGTAGTCTACACCTTCCTGATTGACTCACATATCAATCTTGTAAAACACTTCGTAGATGATTTATGTCACTGTTCTGGGTTGGATCACTACTAAATCTCTGTCCACCAGTCAACAGTGTTCATTGTGAAAGATAATGACTAGCTTCACTATCTTGATAATTAATCGGTTTTTCAAGTATTGGTTTTGTAGGGATTTTGTTTGATTCCATGTAGGATTTCACTATGAGCTGACATCAGTTAGAGAACCATTGGAAAACCTGTCAGGGGGTACTTCCAGACAGTTGTTTTGTCAGTCTAGTTTGGGACTCTTCAGTAGTACGCACCCATCGGGGTTCGGACCTAGGGGTTCTAGTGGGAAATCGTAACCAGTAGGGTACATCAGGTTGAAGCTGAGGCAGTAACTCATCGAAGAAGACATTACAAAGTGGTCGCTCTATGTCGTGAATTAGCAGAAGTTAGAATTCATGCACTGGTCATTGGATCGGGTCCCAGTGGCTGATGAATGGTCTACGAGCTGGCTAGCCTTGTAACCAGAAGGTCCAGGGTTCGAACCCCAGCGGGTGGGTGCGTACTGATGAAGAGTCTTAAACTAGGACGGAGGAAACAGCTGTCCAGTACTCCCAGGTGATTTACCAATGGTTCTCTAACTGTTATCAGCTCATGGTGAAATCCTCTATGCAATTAATCGGTTGCTGACTAACGACTGGTGTATGTTATTTATTTATTTATTTATTTGAACGCAGAAAGAAACTTGATACAATATGGCACCAAGAAAGATGCGCCACATAATGTTGTGTGAGGGCTGAGATACTGCCCGGGCGCCCAGACCGAAGCAGGTGGTTTTCTTAAGGGACCACCCCCCGAGCCTTTGACTTGGAGTTTAATCCGCAAGGCAGCGGAGCAGCGTCAGGAGTTGAGCTGCATTCCCATGGTTTCCGGTGACCCATATGGGTACATATGCCATTTGATCCGATTGGATACTGGAGCCCATGTACCCCATGGTAACTGCTTTTAGTTTAACCGCTATCCAAACAACCTTCCTGACATGGTAGGACCTGCAGGGACGTGAGTTTCAGTAAGTTTAGTATGTTGGGTCATTACCACGGCAAGGCAGCAGTTGCCGGCCGGGACTAACGACTTGTCCTATACAGAAAGTTACCTGGGGTCCACTGAGACAAGAGACAAGAGGATAGTTACTCACCCATGACATTGCCTAGCGGTTGCGCTGAATATTTATATTTCTAATTTTATCAATCAGTCAATCAATAAATATATAATCAATAATTTCTCTGATTGTATATTTTTAGATCTACACACAAATGTATGCTCAAACAGTTTCTCAATCACAGTTGATATGGATAATTTATCATCAAATTCAAATGAAACTACACATCCGAATCAACAGAAAGGTGTTGATGGTGATGATGAAAGTAATAAACTACAAATATTCAAGCCAATGAGAAAACAGCGTCGACTTCGATCAATCAGTGGAAGTCATAGTGATGTACCCATGACTAAACAGTATTCATCAGCATTTCCTAATACTACTAACCAGACAATAATTAGTCATTATTATTGTAAACATCAATCGTTATTAAATTCTTCAGACTTACTTGTCTATTGTCCAACTGAGCAGTCTTCATCGCCAGTAGTATGTACAAGTACAATGGTTAATTCACAAAAACAGTGTACTGCAACTACTACCACGGATAATTGTCGTCGGCGTACTCTAAGCACTGGTAATGATCCTAGAGCATCGAATGTTGATGTTGACGCCAATGGTGGTGATGGTGAAGTACACAAGCAGAATGGGATGGACGTGGGCAGTAATAAATGTCCAAGTTGTGGATATATTAATGTGAAAGGCATGGAGATGAAAGAACGTGAATGGATTAGTGGTATACATGCATTAACTTGTTCAAAAACTGATTCTGTCTGTTGTCCAGTTGATAAGTGTGCATATGTTTGTTCTGGTCGAGCTGATTTATCTGCCCACTTGACAAGTGTTCATTTTCCTGAAAGTAAGTTTACTGTCAAATAGGATTATTATTGTTCCTTTTTGGGTTCCCGAGTGGAACATAGGGCTTCAACAACATGTCTCTGTTTTATCCTGTTTTCTATAGTCTTCTTCACCTGACTCCACAATTACTCATAAGCTTTCATCTCCTGTATCTCCCCCTCTCTCTCTCTCTGTGAGTAAAGGGGAAGGCTTCATGTGCTTTTGGAAGTGTGTGGGCGGTTGTTACTTTCCGGCTGCCGACACCACCGTGGAAGTTGATTAATTCTTCGGGTACCTGAAACAGAAAGAGGGTTAGTGTTGCATGACAGCACAGCCCAGGGGACAACTGCTTGAGGATGGTCGGTCACACACGCCCTTTATGAACTAGTTTCTGGAATTGGTTCCGTATTAGTAAACTTACCGCCGGTTACGGACCACCGTAGGTGGGGTAAGTCAGAATGTACAATTTTTCGGGTCGACCTTTTCTAACCTCTCTTTCTGCAGAGTGGAGAGACAGCATAGCTGGCTGGCTGGCATGCTGGGCATCTGAGCGAAACACCTCACTGCTGTTACACTCCTGTTCCTCAACAGTACAACTTCGCCCGCAGACCCCCAGTATAGTGTAGGAAAGATTCTTACACGATGCCGGTAACTGCTTTTAGTCTAATCTCGCTATCCTAACAACCTTCCTGGCATGATAGGACCTGCAGGAACACATTGGTTCCAGCCAGTGTAGCTCGTTGGGTCATCGCGATGTGCAATCCCGACTAACACGTCAAGGTAGCAAGGGAAGAAAGTAAAAAGAAATGCATAATAGAGAGAGACAGTAAACAGGGACATGAGACAAACGGAATAGTAATAACGAAGAACAATATAATTTCATTGGGTAGTATTATAAGTCACAAAGAGTGGATGCATCTTTGCCAGCCAGTCATTGAGAACGATGGGTTTGAGCCATATCACTGATTGTCTCCAGCCTCCATTGGCTTTTACCGTCCCGAGGACCCCAGCCAACCAGTCAGGAAGTCTACACCTCGCTACATGACTGGCTGGCTTAAACTAACTTGTGGATTTATTTCATTGACTGATGAAGCGATGTTTTGGTTTGACTACCACTAGCTAACTCTTTTCCAACCTAACCCTTCGTCAGCTAACATTGCGCGTTAGTGCAGGAAGGCGACGACTAGGTATACGTAACACGTGTCCTAACCATCTCATTCGATATAGCTCCACAGCCTGATCGAATGATCTCCCCTTCTTACCTAGCACTATACCTTCGCCTAACCTCAATATTGCTCACCCTATTATACCAACACTTCACACGGGAGATAGAACGCAGGCACCTATGATCAAAAACAGTTAGCCAGTTTGTCACGTCTTCCATTTTCAATGGCCTCGTCTGACTTACATCCATAAAAGAGGACGGAGGAGACCTAGGTTCAGGATTTAATGTCGATAGACTTCAGTTACCTAACATCGATTCATAGAAAGCACTACAATTGCTAGACATCTAGTTTCACTACTTCATTACTAAGTTGACTGATAGAATTCAGTTGGTACTCTGACTCTAAGGACTACATGCTCATCATTGATTACTTCCTCATCGTTAATCAATGTACAAGTTTCAATTAGAATACTACTGTGTAATGACAGAAAACAAAGGCCAGGAAACAGATCGTTTATTGAGAAGATCAACAGATATTTATAAATTTTTATGTACACATTATTGTTAGTGGAGAAGCAACCTCTTCTGATTGGTTGTTTCCTTGAAGGTTATTCTGCACTGCTTGTGACCGTTTCTTAGAAAGTTAAGCCGTATATCCGCGAATCGTATTTGCACACGTTAAGTCTCCTATGATTGGTTGTTGAGTTCCTCAAGGTTAAGCTGTTATAGTTTTTGGTGACTCTAAGCTATAGCAGCCCAAGCTGAAATTACCTAGCGAACGGATAAATGACCTTGAGCAACCAATCAGGTGACTCCGTATTATTCAGGCGTACTTATGGACGCCGTACACCTTTTGCGTTGCAAATTCGCTCCACACCTTGTTTTTGATTGCTGTTTGGAGAACAGACTGATAGGAAGGTCGAAAAAGTGTGAATGCGGAGGTCTCCTGTTTACAGGTGCGATAGGTGCCGAACCAGAAAGTCAGTTCGAGAAGGTACGCTGTTCATTTTTAGTTTACAGACTCCGTATGTACTATTTTCGTCAAGACTAAATTACCTCTATCGAAAATTTTAATGATGTGGCATAACTGGGTGCTAAAAAGACCAGTAACATTAACAACGTGTAAATCAGAAAATTCAGAAGTGTCTGCAATGCAATCGTACCAGTACTGCAGAGACATAACATCATGGAAAATGTACAGGCTGACTCAAGTACTTGGTGGAGTTGGCGTCATTGTTCACGTGGATGAGACAGTGTTGATAAAAAGAAAATATAATCGAGGGAGATTGAGTGCAAATCAGCAGTGAGCGTGTTGAGGATATATGAGACCACCATTCACAAAGGATACATTGAGGCGATCCTTAATCGCAGTACAGACGTCTTATTGCCTATTATCTAACGCTTAGTGCTGTCTGGAACAACTATTCATTCAGATGAATGGAGTAGTTATGGTCAACTATCAACCCTGGGCTATATTCATCACATCGTCAACCATACAAATGATTTCATCAATCCTTTCGATGGATTTCCATGGAAAATTTTTACAGTCACCTCAAAAAAACCGATCAGATCTGTGAATGGATCAAGAAATGCAATGATATACAGTTGTCTCGATGAGTTTATGTACAGGGCTTGGTTTAACATAACTATGAAGACTCCTATGAAAAATTGGGAGGTTATTTATGGAACATATACGAGAACGTTATCCTTTATAACTATTTTTTTAAACATTGCATTACTTTTCTATAAACGTTTTATTGAAATTATGCACCATTTCTACAGAGGCTTCTGATTGGTCAAAGTTGTCGTTGTCAGTCAAGGTCGTTTGTCCGTTCGCTAGGTAGTTTCGGTTTGGGCGACTATAGTTTAGAGTCACCTTGTTTTTTTTTCGCATGACCCCGATTCGGGACGTAGACATTGACGTAAATTGTTGTCTACAATTTTTGAATTTTTCTCAGACACCTCTTACCACACTCACTATTACTTCATTTTTTTCTGTACTCTTTTATATTTTCCTTTCTTTTTAGTTCAACATCAACTTGTCCGCTTAATTTTTGCCTGTCCACTAAAAGATTGTCAAACTATATGTCCTGATGAGGCGTCGTTTCAAGCTCATTTCACTGGCCATTTACGTGGACATCTTCCTGGTGATTTGACGGAATTATTCAATCCATATTCTCCGACTCAATCACTGACTACAGTGCCAGGTGGAACAATAACACCAACAGTAGTAGACACAACGCCCACTTTGTCAACAATTCCACCAACAACAACAAGCACAACACCAATCGTAGTGAACTCGACTCCTGTTGTTGTACAACCGATAATGGATAATTCGCCTGAGATATCACAGTTATCATCATCATCATCAAGCATAACATATAATCCGTCGTCTAGTCTTCTCGCAAAGTATTCTTCTATTCATCAAAATAATAATAATAATAGTATACTATCTGGATCTTCAACAAATGATAATTTCCATGTTGAAATAATGGATGTTCAATCTAGTTTAGGCGTTGGAGATCAATGTCAAACGTTGTCGAATAACCCTCCGAGTAGAATTAATCCTCATTCAGAGATGGTTCAACCATCATCATCAATTGACAATAATCAACCGATTGTTGTTGTTGCTGCTGCTGCTGCTGCCGGTGATGTCTCCAATTCATCTAGTTGTTTCAACCAGTACATTCATCAACAACACCACCACGAACAACAACAACAACAGCAGCAGTTCAATGGACTCCCGAATTCACCATCATTATTCTCTAATGATGATGATGATGCGGCTTCTATTAGCACACTGTCTGAAGCGTTTAAATCAGACTCCCATACTGTTGTTGTTGTTGGCGGTGATGATGATAATGTTGCTGTTGTTGTTGGGAATAATTTTTCAACTGTATCAAATAATGAAACAGGTAAATCCTTCTCGAGACGATGACAAAGCAGATACTTTGTCTTTGAATCATCTCATTTCGATATTGAGAGTGCCTGTTTAGCGCGCGTCGTCTTTTGTGTCAATAAGTTTTTTTTATTTCTTACCTATGTAGGGGAACTGATTTGACTGTTGTTTTGAAAATTCGAATTTTGTCTCCATTATTCTAAGTGCAGAAGACTTCTAAACTGTGATTTCAAAGTGACAAAGGTCTGCTTTGCCTTTACGACTCAGCCACGTAGGAAGGTGTAGACTTCCAGGCTGGGGTCCTCGGGACGGTAAAAATCCATGGTTGGAAACAATTGGTGACATGGCTCAAAACCGTTCTCAGTGGCGCAGATGCATCCACTCCCTGTGACTTATGATCTCCAATGAAACTGTTTTGTTCTTCGTTATTACTCCTCCTTTGTCTCACACCTCTGTTTACTGTTTCTATTATGCTTTTCTTGTACTTTCTTCTCTTGCTTCGCGTGCTACACGGAATGTGGCGACTTGAACGGGCGCACATTTGTGCAAAGTTCTATGTCGAAAACAGACAGACAGACTCAGATTTTCGACATCCTCATGTGTTCTATCCATAGTTAGCACTATGACGCCTGGATAATTGAAAAAAAAATCACTTCCTTCTAATTTCTTCTGTTGATAGTGACGGGTGTTGTTGGTTGTTAGTTGGTTAGGTGTCTTCTCTGCCAACTTGCTGGTTTTTGCCTGTAGATCTTCAGGTGTATGGGGTGCACTAGACACAAATCTCCCGCAAAGTCTTGTCTTGTTGTTGGCTCAGCATATTCTTGTCCCATGGCACCTCCCCCCTCCCACCCTACCACAGTCTTCTGCATAATACAGTATACCAAAATGAAGAGGATCGTCGATGATATTAGACAGCCTTGTCTTACTCGCGTCTTCACTTCAAACGCTTCTTTGAGCTTTTCTTTATGAATCAATCACTCGGCATATAGGATCATCGTATGGCTCTGTTGATTGATGTTTATAAGGATTTGGAGTGCTCAGTAGTATTGAAGGAGTTTGCAATTTACTTTCTATCGAAAGCCTTTTCAAAGTCGAGGATGCTGAGGTGTAAAGAGTTGACTGCCATTCTAAGGTTTGTTGAATGTTGTGTTACGATTTGATCTGTGCATGATTTACTTTTCTTGAATTCAGCTTTTTCCAAGTGGAGTTTCGTATCCAGAGCATCTCTTTCAGAATGACACGACTTAATATTTTGCTTGACGTGGACAAAAGCATGATTCTGTGGCATTCTTTTCAAAGGTCTAATTCACCCTTTGGTTAGTTTAACAAGATAGCTTTTCTTCCAATCAGTCGGTGCCCTTTCCTTCCTTCCAAACCTTGATATGATTATGAGCAGCAATAAATTGTGCTCGAAGCGTGGTCATCAGTAAATATTACTGTATAAACAGTGTGTGACTTTGTCAAAATAACATTTTATCCATAATGGAATTATACTCTACCACTACAATGCCCAGGTTTTAATCCTCCTATCAATAATGGATGAGGTTTAATTGTGTGTCTACCAGGAATTGAACTTGAATCTCCAGTGCGACTGTCAAGTATTCTACCTTTGTACCACCGACACACTTGACTTTAGTGTTAGGGATTCATACCTTTTTCCTTATCGACTAAGGTCGCTTTATCGTGTGTATGTAACGTCCATTTTAGTGTATGTGTATTATTAGTAATGGGTGTTTTTTAATGGAATATATACTGACTTGTCAACTCAAGTTGCCTGCCCATATTTGCTCAGATTGAATTCGGTCTGATTGGTCTACAATAAACTCTATGGAATGAATAGGCATGTCTAGTATATGAGTATCTCTGCTATTTTAAGAACAATTTTGACCCATATCATCAATACTCTCAAGTCATTGTTTCTTAGCATCCCAAATATCCCGACCAGGTAGTCTACACTTCCCTGAGAAGTTGGCTCAAACCAACTGTCAAAAACGTCATAAACTGACCTAACCCCCCTATGTCAGTCAACATTGCTCGATGAGGAAGGCAAATGGCACGGTATAATGTGCAACACGCCGTATTCATCTCATTCGATATAACTTCACAACCTCACCTATCGACTTCTCCCTACCTAATACTACGTCTAGTGGCAACAATACTGACTATATCATACCACTTAATACAAAGTAATACTCGGTGCATACAAACATACTACAGCGGTCGGTGTCTTCTTAAGTGAATAGTAATGTGTATTGGTTAAATTGACACTTATTTACGACTTCATTAATATTTACTGGCTCTCAAATGGTTAAGAAAAAATGGTTAGTTTTGACATTGTCAGTTTTTATGCACGTATACCAATAAATATCGCTATAGAGGCAGTCAGAAACGAACTCATTTCTGACCAGGAACTCGAACTTAGGACAAAAGTGTCACTTGAGGACATAATGCTGGGAGTGCAGCTATGCCTGACTTCCACAGTATTTAAATTCCAAGGGAAAATATACAAACAAACTGAGGGAGTCGTGCCATGGGATCACCAGTATCCCCCACTTTGTAGCAGATATATTCATGGATATGTGGGAAAATATAGCGATTTAAACGTTCAGCCCCACCACACCAAAAGTATGTTGGAGGTATGTAGATGACACACTCACTGTACTCAGAACACAAGATATAGATAGATTTTTCGAACACATCTACTCAAAGGTGGAGGCAATTCAATTCACTTATGAATTGGAAAGTCAGGAAGAGGAACTTCCAATGTTAGATTGCAACGTAAAAAGGAAAGAAGATGGGAAGCTAAACACTAGTGTTTACAGGAAACCCACACATTCAAACAGATATTTGAACTTCCGATCATCCCATCCTATTTCAGTAAAAGTAGGATTGGTTAAATGTTTAAATGACAGAGCACAAAAACTAAGTAGTAGAAGCCTTGGAACTTAGTAATTATCCGGATAAATTAGTCAGGAAACATGTAAGAAAATGTAAAAATAAAATAAATAATGATAGTAGTGACAGTGATAATAATAGTAGTAATGATAACACTAATAATGATAATAATAATAATAATAATAATGACAACACCAACAATAAGGAATGTAAACTACCAGTAGTAATTCCATAGAAAGAAGGAAGCTCGGAAACCTTACGCAGAATTCTTAACAAGGCAGGAATATAAGTGGTTGGCATTCAAACGAACCACAAACTCAATTAGAAACAAGCTTTGTCGGTTAAAGGATCCTGTCAGTGGAGCCAATAAAACAAAACAATTAAGTTTATCTAATACCCTGCTGGAATGATTGTCAGGTCAAATACATAGGTCAAACTAGTAGAACAGGAGCAGTTAGACCAGCCGAGCACAAAAACCGGAATAAGATATAGCTATACTTACTTTTACTTTACTTTACTTCGGCTATCTCCTACGGGAGGATGAACCGGCTTCATGAACATCTCGAATGTTTGTAAGAGAGTTGATGAAGTTTCATGGGAATTTGGTACGAGTGATGTCCCCATCATCGCTCGGCCTTTTGTTTGCGAGTGCAGCTCTAGCCTTTACACAGCCAAGTGTGACCTACAAGGCAGTAGGAGTGGAGTAGGGAGTCCACTATCCATTGGCAGCCGGTGATCGGAGTCCGGTTCATACGCCTTTTTGAATGGGGCCAGACATCCAGGGCATCCAATAAGCTCTTTGTCCATACGTCTGCCGGTGAACTCCGGTGAGCTTCATACGCCAGTCGTTGGAGGTTTGGAATCAGGGTTTAGCCATCTCCCCTAGACTGTCATCCAATGGACAGTCAACCCGGTGAAGAGCGCCGGGCATCCGCTTTTGCCCTCTCACTTCGGTGAAAAACACCTCCGCCACGTGAAGGCAGTGAGTAGGACTTCCTCAGGAGAGGCTATGTAGGACGCACGGTCATATGGGAGCATTTCAAGAGGTGTACGGAGGGGTGGCTAGCCCGCAGCGCAAGACACCAACCCCCGACCATCCTGAGGCTTTGGAGGCAGATATAGCTATAGCACACACTACATTCAATTACACACAACCATACAATAGGATGGGATAGAATGATAGTTTTAAAATCTAATGCAAATGACAGGGTGGAGGGAGAGATTGATAACAGGAGCTTTGTTTGTCGAATCAACTGAAAAGAATACGTGCAATGGGAATGATTCATCATCTGGAAAATTCTTCTGCCCCAACGACGACAAATAGGAGAGAACAAAGAAAACCATAAAACTCAAGTTTCGAAGTCGTATGATTATAATTGATGAAATGATTATGAACAGTAAATTTTGTTCGAAACTGTCATCCAGTAAATAATAATACTGTTTCACTGACTGTGTGATACATCTAATAAACAAACTAATATTGAATTACTGGTTCTCAAATGTTGAGTTGTATGCATTTGAATCAATTTCAGTGTAGATTTCAACATGAACCAACATCACTTAAAAGACAACTGAAGTCCATGGAGTGCTGTTTCCCCCTGATTTAAGATTCCATTGAATAACTCATTTAAAACCCCACCATGGATGTAGAATTGAGAACATTTATTTTATGAGGCGATTCCATTAACTATTCACTCAATCCCCCGGATTGTGATCTCATAAGCCTTATACACTAACTCTTTCATCTCCCGATAAGGTACCACCGCCAAACCTCAAACCTGACTTGGTGGCCTATTACTCTGTGGTTTTTGGTAGTTCCTACAACTGATGTTGGTTCGTGATGAGCCCCCACCTTGTAGCTGAAATTGTCTGAGAGACATTTAATGACATATATTAAATAGATTATAACACAAAGTTACTACACTATGGACACCAAGAGATGCACCACAAAAAATCTCATAGTTTGTGTGAGGACTGCGACACTACCCAAGCGTCCAGATCGCCTGAAGTTGTTGTCTCAAGGTGTCTTTGACTTCACGTCCATTCCCATGGTTTCCAGTGTCCAGAACAAGTTCATATGCCATCCAATCCTTTTTGATTCTGGAGCCTATGTACCCCCCC